GGAGCCATTGGTGCTGGTGTGTCTAGTGCTTCTGGATAGATCAATTCTTCTTCTCTCCCCTTCTTTTAATCCTGGAGTCTTCTATTTTGATCCTATTCCTCATTTTTTGTCTCATTTACTTCTCAGTATTAAACCCAATCATTTCCTGGACTCATTTATTTCCCAATATTAAGTCCATGATACCTTATTTCAAAACCTCAAACATAGATGACTGTATACTTAGTTTATTTCTTCTGTCCCTGAACCTGTTCTCCCGCTGAACTTCTGTGGTCAATTTCAAACAAACATACATCCTTATTCTGCCTCCTCACATCCTGTTCTTGTTTCAGGTCTTTCAGTCAGACTTTCTTTCAAAAATAATTTTTGCATTGTGCAATTTAATCACTAGAAATGTGTGACAGCATTTCCCATTAGATTTCCTCATCTTTCGTCTATTTTCTCTTTAGTTTATCTATGGGCACCTCAGTCTGATATTTTTGTAGAAAGACAGTGAGGATCTTAGACTTACTATATGTTGAATTTCTTATGTAGTATGTCATTAACATGGGTATTTTAGTGTAAAGAAGACAAAAGAAAAAGCCATCCTAATATTATTTCCCTATCGTTATCTGAAATCTAATGAGATTTACTTCCTGAAAAGATATCAGTTAATCCAAGGTGGGCACTCTAAATTCTTTCTTACATAAAAGCCTTTCAGTTGGGTACTGGTGGCTTAACTAGTAATCCTTGCTACTTACAAGGCAGAGGTCTGTGAATTGTGGTTGGGAGCCCCTCCATGTAGGAATGACTGTGAGAATCTTATCTCTATTTAGTCCCCAAAAAGCTAGAACTGGAGCTGTGGCTCAAGTAGTAGAGCACTTTGCTTGAATTAAATAAGCTATGAGAGAGCTGGTAGGTCCTGAGTTCCAGATGCAGTACTGGCACACACACCCACACACACACCGCCCCCCCCCCCACGCACACACACACAAATATTTCTTTTGATATTCCCTGTAAATATTTAAAGTATGTACTCATTTTTAAGACTTTGTTAAAACTGATACATTCATTTATTTATGAGTGGGACTTGATTTAAACAATCTTAATTATGAAACCATCCTTGAATACAATGAAGGTAGTTTGAGTCGAAATGGGTACTAGATAATAGGAAATGGCTTTTTATTTGCAGTCCTGGGGCTAGAACTCAGGGCCTGGGTACTGTCCCTGGCTAGCATCTACCATTTGAGCCACAACTTCACTTCTGGCTTTTTGACAGTTAATTGGAGATAATAGTTCCATTGATTTTCCTGCCTGGGCTGTATCTCAGCCTCTTGAGCAGCTAGAATTAGAAGAATGACATGTTACTAGATGGGAATTCCTTTTAAGTCTCAAGAGGTATGATTGTTATTTAAAAAGTCATCATCAGTTAACTTAGTAATGATAATTGGCTTAAACACCATGTGGGTTTGTGGGTGGGAGTGTGCGTGCATGCATATGTGTATGTGTGTGTGTGTGTGTGTGTGTGTGTGTGTGTGTGTGTGTGTGTATGTGTAGGGTTTTAGAGGTAATTTGGATCAAACAGGTAGGTGAAACGAGGTTGGAAAAGGTTAATTTGTGACATTGGGGGTAATTACACTATGTTCTGTGTTTATATATAATTAAACATTCTGTAAAGTGTTAAAATGAAAGGAATGAAGTATCTCATGTTGACCAAATAACTTAGTCTGAAATCAGTTACAGTTATAAAGCTTTGTTGGCAGATGGCAGCATAGGATAAGCCATGTGCCTCCTGGAGTCATAGCTCAGCTTGCTACCAAGAGCAGTGACTATATCTCTACCATCTATGTCTCTATCTCCTTATCTGCATCTATTCTACCTGTGTATCATCCTATCTCTGTATCTTTCTATCTCACAATCAATCATTCACACAGACTCTGACATCACACCTGCATATATTTACATATGTGTATTTCCACCTATGTACATTTAATTTTTTTTATTTATTCATTTATTATAAGATGTTCTTTTCTGATTATAATAACAAGTAATGTTTCATGGCAATCAAAAGTTTTCTTTTCCCAATACCATTGTGCTTGAACATGCTATCCGAGGTAGCTTTAAGGAATAGCTGTGGAATTTGATGTGAAAGAAAAAACTAAAGATCTGTCACTCATCCAGTTTAGGGTAGAATCCTTTCTTTCATAATCTTGGCTAACATTACTACTTCTGAAACCATTTGAACATTTAACAAAGTCTGTAATATGTATATCCTAGGAAAGTCAAGAAGTCTAAACTCAGTCAGTGGAAAAGGGAAAGTTTCCCTCCTCAAAAGGATCACACTACTGTAAAATGAGTGTCTATGTTGTTTAGCAATGTCTACCCTGCTGTGAATGATGGAGTTTACTAGTGCTTCCAAGGTACACAATCTTACCCCTGTGGTACAGCCCAGGGCAAAACCTCCCTGTGAATGGTGGCCAAGCTGTCCCCATGTGCTTCGTGTGTGGGGACCAGCAGAACAGTTGTTTAGTTCAGTATTCTGGACCAGCTGTGGATAGAATTTTATCATGTGCTTAAATAAAAATGTTATGCAGTATTTACATTTAGCATATACTCACCCTACTATATATTCAGATCATCTTGGGATTACTTATGATGTCTATTATAGAGTAGAGTTTGTTTTTTGTCAGTTGTGGGGTTTGAACTCTTGGCCTGGGCGCGGTTCCTCAGCTCCTCAGCTGAAGGCTAGTGGTCGACCACTTGAGCCACAGCACCACTTCCATTTTCTGAGTGGTTTATTGGAGATAAGAGTCTGGTGGCCTTTCCTGCTGAGGCTGACTTTGAACTGTCATCCTCAGATCTCAGCCTCCTGAGTAGCTATGATTACAGGCATGAGCCACTTTGCCCGGCTACAGTACGGATCTTTAAACTATTTTTCCACATTTCTTAAAAATTGGCATTAATTAGTTGTACAGGAGGTTTTACTTGGGTGGATCCGTCACTGCAAGCAGTGGACCTTGATAGACTCTCTCCCTGCATCACTGTCCCTCCTTGCTCCCTTCCCAGATCAATCTCCATGTCATCATTCCATTGTCAAACATGTACATAAAGTATTTCCATCCTATTTACTCTCATTCACCCTCTCCATTCACCTCCCCTCTCCCACTTGTAATTACTATTTATATTACTGTCATTTAAATTCTTAGTGTATGCTAATATTCAAATGGGCTTTAACCTGATATTTTTGCATATATACTACCCCGATGGGATTGCACCTCTCACTTGTTGTCTTGTTCCCTAACCCTACTACCCTATTATTCCAGACTTCAGTGAACCCCATTTTGCTCTCTTTATCCACAGCTGAAGTAGACTTAGATATTATTCATCCTTTAATCTTTGCTTTTCCATATCTAATCCTCTCCAACAGTCCTACTATTACATGTTTATTACTTATGTTCCTATATGATAAACATGTTATATGTCTCTCCCATATTTCTTTGTACACTTACATGCACATTTATCTTTTAGGCTTAGCAAGCACACATGAGAGAAAGCATGTGAACCTGGCTTGCTTTGCTTAACATGAAGGCCCCAGATTTACCCATTTCTTTGCAAATGACACAATTTCATGTTCAGCCTGGCCAGGCTGTATGGAAAAATAATTATTAGACTTCCCAAAGGCCTCTTGAGTCCCACACAGGTCAGGCACAGATTTCATTCTGGAAATCAGCAATGTCCACCCCTCTGAGGATGTTGAGTTTACTATTGCTTCCAAGGTACACAATATTTTACACCTGTGGTACCACAGGGCAAAACCTCCCTGTGAATGGTGGCTAAGGTGTCCCCATGTTCTTCTTGTCTGCAGACCAGCAGAGCAGATGCTCTGAGCCTGTGTTAGGACAAGGTTGGGGAACTCAAAATATTAAGCTGCAGCTGGGTTCTGTCCCACAAGGGTCTTAGGCTCTATTCAACCACTTAGAACAAGCCAACAGCAAGAACAGCAGCAGCAACAATAATTTCTAAAAAAACTGCTGGTGAGAATGAACTTTTTGCCTGTCCTGTGTTTGGATCATGATTCTCCTGATCTCCACCTCCAAAGGCTAGGATTAGAGGCCCAAGTCATCCCTATTGGCCACTTACTCATTTTAAACCCCACAAGATATTCTCCCTGTTGTGTGGGCAGCCAGTGTTAGTTTACAGGCAACTATTCATTTACACACTCCAGCGTGCATGTCTCCATGTCTTCCTTTTTAATTGAAGAAACACAGTCTTTCTATCAGCACCACTCATATAACAGTGGAACCTGTGATTTTTATTTTGTTTTGCAAATAGTATTTTCTTCTGCCCCATTTTCTTTTCTCTTCCACATTGTGGGTCCTCTCCCTTGGACAAAGCACTGATGCTATTTTGATGTGCTTGGGTCCTAAGTCTTGAGAGCATTCCCCGCTGTCCTTCCCATCTTGAGTTTTGCCTTCTGTGGTACTCCTGGCCTTCAGGGCTGCAAGGTCTGTCATGCATGTCATTCTCCAACATGTCATCCACAGTGTATGATGAGGGCACAGACACCTTTTGCAAGCTTGCTTATGCCCTCATGATGGATTGGTAACCTGTGATTGAACCTAAGCTGCCAGTCAGTGACGATTCAGAGGACTTGGTGGTAGGCAACCCTTCCCATGGAATGTGCAGTGATGGAAAGTACCATCCAGAAGGGCTGTCTTCACTTCTCTTGTCTTTTCTTCCTCCTTGGTACTGAGTTTTGATCTCAGGGCCTGCTGCTTGCTAGACACTCTACCACTTGGTCCAAGCTACCCTCAAGTCCTTTTTAGGTAAAGTATTTGATTATTGCTCAAGTTGTGGAAGATCCTTCTACCTGCAGCTTCCTGCATAGCAACAACTACAGATGTGTGCTATCCAGACAGTTTGTTTGCTCAGGTGGAGTCTTAACAGCATTTTCCCTGGGTTGGACTTTAATTGCAATCCTCTTAATCTCAGCCTCCTGTGTAGCTGGTATTACTGGTGTGAACCTACTCTGAGAGGCCCTGTGTGAGTTTTCTAGCGATGCAGGCCAGCCCTCCAGGGGTGATGGATAGGAAGAGCAGAGTCTGTAATGTCACATTATCCCCACTGGATCCTGAAATAATGAGAACTGTAAGTTTAAGTACAAACATTATAAGCTATTTTCATGATTTTCCTTCTCTTACTTTCCCCCAGTGAAGTCATTTGTGTGTGTGTTTGTGATTTAGTTTCTATTTACATTTGAAAAAACAACTGATTGAGCAAGGCACAAAGTCTCCTCTAGACATCATCTGTACCACCTTCCTATTTCTGTGAGAAAATCTTCATAAGAAAAGAGGTCTTCAAACTTTCTGGAACTTTCCTTTGAATTAGTCTTGTCTATTTACTTAGAAGTAACACACAGCATGTGTTCATTTTTGTTACAAATGCTATGGGAAGTGTGTTGTAGCTGACCATGAATGGGGCTTTGTTGAGGGTAGCTGAGGCCCCACGGGACAGAGACCACAGCTGCAGTTTGTGGCTCTGAGTTCCCCACCTTGTCCTTGCACACAGACTCAGAGAATCTGCTCTGCTGGTCCCCAGGCAAGCAGCACATGGGCACAGCTGGGCTGCCCCATGCAGGGAGGTTTTTGTTGTAGGCTGTAGCAAAGTGTGAGGGTATTTTGAACCCTGTTGGCAGTAATAAACCCCTTCATCCTCAGGCTTCACGCTGCTGATTGTCAGTGTGAAATCTATGCCTGACCTACTGCCACTGATCCTGTCTGGGACCCCAGTAAATTGGTTGGAAACCTTACAGATCATGGATTGTGGAGACTGGCCTGGCTTCTGCAGGTACCATTGCAAGTATGTTTCCATCACTATGCATGAGACTCCTACTGGAGTGCAGGAGATGGAGGCTGGCTCTTCAGGGTTGATGGACAGGGAGAGTGGAGTCTGCGTCATCCCAACAGCTCCACTAGATCTTAGAAAGAAATAAGTTGGAGTCATATAAACATTTTTGGCTGGCTTCATAAGTTTCGTCCATTGTAGTAAATTATTAATTTAAATTTTATTTGGATTGTAAATATTTAATTTCAAACCAGGAAGTTAAGATTTGCACAAAGAAGTCTTTTTCTTTACTATCTCATTCTATAGGACAATTTTCAGCAGCATCTATGTCCAGATGCTCTTGAATCTTCTTGCCCCCTATAGCTCTAAGCAGCACCTACAGTTCTGAAGTATGAGATCCACACACTTCACATGTGGAGAGAACACACAACAGCAGCAGTGGTGTGCCCAGACTCCAACCTCAACCTCATCTCCTCCATCTCTCTGTGTCTTTACCAGAGTATCAGCAGCCCCAGGAGCTGAGCAGGGAACTTCATCTTGAGAAATTGAAATGTGGTGTTCTGAACTTAGCATGAGAGCTGAGCTTTTATCTTAGCCTTAGCAAGGAGGCTCCTCCCTAGGGAGCACTATGCAAATTGAATATTGGGTACAGAAATGTGGCAAGACTTAAAGGGTATGGAAAGAGGCGTCTTAGTTGAGTTAAACAATTTCTGTATTGAAAATAGGCCAGCAAAGATAAATTCCATGGTCCTGCCTCAGTGGGCAATAGGAGGCCATGTGGAACATTTGGATGTGTTTGTTGGGGCAGAAGGAGGAGAGAAGGCGCATATGGACCAACCTCTCTAAGACAGCAAAGAGACTCAGTGCAGTGCAGGTGTGGGGACTGGTCTCTTGGAGGGGAGCAGTGCCTGTGTGGTTCCTTCCCAGCTAAGTAGATAAACAACTTTGCCCTCCCAAGTATTGCCCTTCAGTTTCCTACCTTGACAGCACAGACTTGAGCTATGCTGATAGTTGCCAACTAGACAAACATGTTAGAAAGAAAGGTTGGCAAGAGCTTTTCCTTGGACCGAGTGAATAAAACTCTCTGATGCTCATATGAAGAGAACTTAGCAATGAGGAAAATAGGTATTTCTGTTTCAGCTAAATAGTGAATTTCTCAGTTCAATAGAAGAGCAAAGATTGGAAATTATCCTTTATTAGGAAATACAAGATTTGTGGGGAATAGATTTACAAATTGTCAAACATTCTGTCATACTTATTTCTAGATATATCAGATTCACTATTTTGGTAGTGGGATTGGTTTGAGGGGATTTAAACTTGGTATGCTGACACTCTACCACTTCATCCAGGCCTTACTTCCTGCTTTATGCTGCTAGTTCAGAGATGGAGTCTCATATATTTTTCAGTCCAGGCAGGTTTAGAATCACAATTCTCAGGATCTCAGCTGTATGAGTAGTTAGGAGCCACTGGTACCTAGCAAAAATATTTCTTAGTTATTTTTACTTATTGTGCCAGTACTGGAGCTTGAACTCAGGGCCTGCGTACTGCCTATTAGCTCTTTCATTCATGGTTGGCACTAAATATATGGAGCTATACCTCCATTTCTGGCTTTTTCCCAGTTAATTGGAGATAAGAGTCTTATGGATTATCCTGTCTGGGCTGGCTTACAACCATATTCCTCAGATCTCAGCCTCCTGAGCAGCCAGGATTACAGGTATGAGCCACTGGTGCCTGATCAAAAATATTTCATAAGAGAAAAAAATCTTGATTTCATCAGATGTAATGAATACTTATGGCATTTTTTCCTGCTCTGAATGAACTTAGAAAAATCCTTCCCATATGCCAGTCCTTTCCATTGTCATGGATATTAGGCAGGTACCAGATTTGAGAAAGAGACTCATTAAAAAAAAATCGTGGAATGCAGTCCTTTATTGTCTCAGGGCAATTTGAATCAAAGACTGGGCTTCCAAGATGGTCACTGTGGTGACAGTGTTGGGTCAGAGCTGGGAGGACATTAATTCCTGACTTCCTACTTTTAGAGCAGTGAGAGAACAATTTGTGCTGTGATTTGTAGGAGGACAGAGCAATTATGGAGTCTGTCATATTTCCTTTTAGTGTAGAAGTAACTCTGTGGATGGCTTTCTCCAGAAGATAAAGAAGAGTCTCTAAACATTGTGAAAAGCAGTGTTGTTTATAGCTGACATCTGCCCTTGGAACCATAAAGACAAAATGGACAGACCATGACCTTCTTCACAGTCAGACTGTGGGGGCTCATATGTGTTATCTTAGCTACATGAGTGGTATAAATAAGAGGATTACAGTTCATGTCAGCCCAAGAAAAATATAAGACCTTATTAAAAATAATACTTGGAAATCTTATATCCTCAGGACACTGTTTACAGGGTCAATGTCATGGAAATGGTGAAGATAGAAGTTTCAGGTATTTGAAAATCATATGTATTCTTGTAGTCTCTGGTATGAGTTCTAGACTAGGTGAGGTGAGTAGTACATTTTCCTTGCATTCAATGTAGGGTTGTGCTTGGTGAATAAGGAAATGTCAGTGGACGCTGTAGAATGGTTCATGATTATTATATCAGCACACAGGGAGCTCTGAAATTTATGAGCACCTAAGCTATATGGTGAGTTATGTTAAAAATAATCAAGCAAACAAAACCAACATAAGGAAAGAAAACAAGAATGTCATTGGGGAGAATATTATGGGTTTACCGTGTTTGACCTATAATTTGATTTGAAGCCATTTGTTTTGTTGTCTTTCTGGTTCTGTGTGTAGTTTCTGGATGACAGCTATGCCATCGGCTTGCAGTGAAAACCCTAGAGTCCTTGACATGTATAACATGGCTTCTGAGAAGTCTGTGACTATAGGTGGAAGCAGGTGTTGGGATGGTGGATCCAAATGATGGGAAGAGCACTAGAAATCAAGTTTGATGAACTTGGCAAATTTTCTGAGTGGACCTTTTTTATTATATGAAAATGATGAGACAGGTCCTTCACAGATTTGATACTCTGAGTTGCTGAAAGAGGTTATTGTGCTAAACAACTTATGAAGGGCAAAATATGCAAGGTATTTTGAAAGAGGAAAGATGAGGAACAATAATTCTCTGAACCCCAAGAAAAGGACTCAAAGGTTTTTCTTTCTTGCTATTGTTTCTAACATATTTATAAGATGATTTTTTTTTTGTTGCTTTGTATGTCCCTCCCCCACAGTGTAATCCCTGTTTTCACTGTATTTGTTGTTGGTATAATTTGGGGAGGAGAAGGGAAAAAACAAATTGTTTGAATAGGGATACAGGTGGACCCATTGCAAAAATGAGATGTATAAGACCTTATGTTGAAAAAGGGCATTTACCCAAATGATCACAAACAAGACCATACGAAAGGTACCAGTACAACTATATTTATTTCAGCATTATGTACCATAGCTAAGATATGGAACCAACCCAGATGCCCCTCAGTAGAGGAATAGATCAAGCAAATGTGGTATATATACACAATGGAATTCTATGCTTCTATCAGAAAGAATGATATTGCCCCATTTGTTAGGAAATGGAAAGACTTGGAAAAAATTATATTAAGTGAAGTAAGCTAGGCCCCAAAAAAACATAGATTCCATTGTTTCCCTTATTTGCAATAACTAGTATATGTCCGAGACAAGCAGAAAAGGTCAGGTAAATTGATGTTAGGTGAAATGAACCCCAAGATAAGTATTGTAATGTGTTTTTTTTTCATGTGATTGTTTCTAACATATTTATAAGATGATTTCTTTGTTGCTTTCTATGTTTCTCCCCCATGATATAACCCCTGCTCTCCCTGTATTTGATGTTGGTATAATTTGTGGAAGGGGGAAGGGCAAAATCGTTTAAATAGAGATACAGGTGGACCCATTGCAAAAATGAGATGGACAGATCGTTATGTCGAAAAACGAACTTCCCAACTTTGGCAGGAAGGTGGAGTGTGGAGTAAGGGGGGAGGTGTTTGATGGGAAGGGTTGGGAAGGGGAAACAAAGAAGGAGGCAACAATGCTTGAAAAGAAATGCATTCATTACCTTGCTCACATAATTCTAACTCCTCCATATGGTATTTTCACAATAAAGAAACATTAATAATAATTAAAAAAGAAATGATGTTAAAAAAATTCTCCCTAGAGTTTGCTGTTCATAATGCTGATCAGCAGGGGGCAGCAAGAGACAACATTCTCCCTCCACTGCTCTCTCTCTCCTCCTCCTGTGCTAGGGTTCTAACCCCCGCTTTCACTATATTTGATGTCAGTATAACATGTGGAGGAGACGGGAAAAACAAGTCGTTTAAGGATTCAGGTGGACCTGTTGCAACAATGAGAAGTACAAAATGTCATGTCAAAACCAGCTTTACAATGTCGGTGTGGGGGGGGGGGGAGGGGGGATATGATTGGGTGGGGGAGAGGGGGGAGGCTGGGAAGGGAGGTGAAGGGTAAACAAAGGAGGAGGCTGCAATGCTTGGCAAGAAATGTTTGCATTATCCTGCCCATGTAATTGTAACCCCTCTGTACAGTATGTTCTCAAATAAAATAAAATAAAATTAAAAAAAAAAAAAGAGTAGAAAAAAAAAAGAGTAGAAAAGACCTCTTGCTGCTGCTCTTCTCTTACTTGGCTTTTCAGTTGAGGGCTGGCACTGTGCCACTTGAGCCATGCCTCCACTTCCACCTTTTCCCTGTTTTCTTCGAGATCAGTGATTTTCAGATTAGTTTTCCAGGACTGGCTCAAAACTGTGCATTCTCAAATCCCAGCTTCCCAGGTTAAGCCACTGGTGTCTCCCCTATTTGCTTTTTTAATGTTTTTGGTAAAGTTTTTATTTTGTGAACCATTAACTTTCCAAACCTTTTAAAAATTATTTAGAAAATACTTTATTAGTTTCTCTAATCAAACCCACGTAGATACAACATTATATATTTAATTCAGTGTGTTTACCCCTGTACAAATAACTTTCCAAATCTTTGACTTGCTCAATGAGATTGTGAACTTCTTCCTGAAAATATGTGGACCATTTAGTATCAGTCTTCCATGAAACAAAAATTTTCTTTATTCAAAACATTAATATTACATTTCCAAACCTTCTGCAAAGGCGTTTTTTTACAAAC